CTACAAAGGTATAAAGAGCCTGTATATTTACAAGCTGTGAGCCATTCCATCTGAGTTACTTAGATGGACACTAAGGTTGTTGCATGGTTTGGTCCTCCACCATACACTTTTTAAATGTTTGTTAAATTTACAACTACATTTTTACCACAAATGGCAGTATATGATCTCTAAGCTCTAAAATGGGAGTTATACGAGATATCTATATATATCATAGATGTTTTCTACTGTCAGAACTAAACATTTTTTTTATTGAATTTATGAATGCAATTTCCTAAATAAGGCATGTGTTAATTGAAATAATTCATTTAAGTTAAAAAGTTACAAGTTAAAGCCTATATACATCCCACTGCTGGGCACAGGCCTCACCTCATTTCTAAGAGGGTTTTAGGCCAAGGAAGCATCCAAAGGTATAAAGAGCCTGCATATTTACAAGCTGTGAGCCATTCCATCTTAGTTACTTAGATGAACTCTAAGGTTGTTGCAAGGTCGTTACCTCAATTTTATGTAAATAAGTAGTGAACTGCCCGGATTTACACGGGTGATTTCTGGATCTCGGAACAGCGCCACCTACCGGGTTCAATTGAGTTTTCAAACCATCCAGAGACAGTCACGTACATACAAAAAAAATCATAACAATAATAGTCGGGCCCTTTTCGTGAGTTTTTGCAAGACTAATGGACAGCAATAGATTTTTTTTATATAGAGATAACTAGCTTGCAAGACAGACGTAGTTCTGCCCTTTTCGACGACATTTGTCGTGTCCTATTAAAAATCCTTAAATTCGCAAAAAAAAAAGTTGTGGGTCACTCATGGGCAAAAAAAACTATCCTATCTTTCAAGTTGGACCAAACTTCACATGGTGTGCAAATTTGTGGTGTGTCTTTCCTAGAATAGTGGTGTTGGGAGTAGTGGTTTTGGGAGTAGTGGTGCTGGGAGTAGTGGTGTTGGGAGTAGTGGTGCTGGGACTAGTGGTGACGGGATTAGTGCACGCAACTGGGCGGGAGGTGCTCTTCAATCCAGGTAAGACACATCATTGTATTTAGTTAAGCGGGTGTTTGCGAATTAAATTTTGATATCTTTATTGAAAAGAAATGATTTGTCTTTGCTATCAGAAGATGCCAAAATTTCTCTCTTGACATTATCATTGTCAATCAAGTTGTTTCCATGTTGATCTTGTTTCATTTTTGAAAATAAATTATAGTCACTAGGGGGCCAGCTGATCAAAACCACATCGGTGAATAGCAGCTGTTGCAACATGGTTTGTGTGCAATGAGCAGATAGTCATACTAAAGGAGCACAACTTGTGTCTTTTTATTTTTATTTTATTTCCTTATTAGGCCTTTAATAGTTCTAGTAAGGAAGCATATTAATTCCATTATGGTAACACCATATATATCACAATCAAAAACAGAAACTTTTTTGTTCAATGTAGATTATGAACAATACTTATTGAAAGTCACTTTTTTCATTTACCAACGGTTCGCAAAAAAAAACCTCTGTTCTGGGAAGAACCAGCAAGAAACCCAGCGGGACTTTTTTTTCAAATAGCTTATAATCATGTTTAAAATTAACACTTGCTAGCAATCCCTCCCCAGGGGTTATTATCATCCATAAATTCCTGAATATTATAATAACCCTTTTTATACAAACTTAGTTTACATTGAATAAAACTATTATTTACAGATTTTATCACGTTTAATTCAACCTTAATTTATTTTTATTATCCCGACGTTTTGGGTGCTTTACAGCACCTGTGGTCACGGGGGGGACTGAGATGTTTGACGTCCCAATGTCATAGTTTCTCTGGCTACATATCATAGTTTTTAAATATTAATTTTTCGTCCGATTTACACAAAATGAGCTTATAGTATCATGAAGTCTTGCAGTGGTATGCTTGGGTTTGGGTTTAATTTTGTAAATTATAGGAACCCAAGCTGCTGGCAGCACCCATCCATCTTCTCTATTGAAATTTGGATGTTTTTTTAATTTATGTGTATCATCCTTGGTAGGAATCGGTGTTCTTTTGGGAGGATTTGTGGTTTATAAAATCTAATGTAATGGTGGAGACGATCTTGAACATGTTCGCAGACTGCAGACTTACCAGAGTGTCGGTGCTTCACGTCAACTATATGTTCCTTCACGCGGGTTTCTTTAGAAAACAAACATCCAAATTTCAATAGAGAAGATGGATGGGTGCTGCCAGCTGCTTGGGATACTATAATTTACAAAATTAAACCCAAACCCAAGAATACCACTGCAAGACTTCATGATACTATAAGCTCATTTTGTGTAAATCCGACCAAAAATTATATTCAAAAACTGAAGGTGGCCGGACTAACTATGACATTGGGACGTCAAACATCTCATTCCCCCCTGTGACCCGTGAAATGTCGGGATAATAAAAATAAATTAAAGTTGAATTAAACGCGATAAAATCTGTAAATAGTTTTATTCAATGTGTAGTGTCGCGTAAATTTAAGAAATCATTAAACTTAGTTTAATAAAAATTTTAACTTTGTGTATGACAAATTTTGTATATTTCACAATCAATCAATAAAAGATCTTGTGTATGGTTATAGATGGTCAATGGCAATGATCTTTTGCGGCAATTGCGACACTATATTATTAAAAGGGAGGTGTGCCTTTCATTATGCCACTGTATCAATTCTTGCTTTGTCTGTTTCGTAATGATAAACCCAAATCTCAGCAAAAGTTACAATCTGGGCCATAACTTTCTACTTTTGCTCTCCACAGCACTCCAAAAACTCTTAAATGACTCATAATGCTTGCATTTTAACGTGGTGTATGCATTCTCGGAACACCTATCTTGCACTAAGATCTGGTTTCCAACAAAACAGAGGAGAGGAGACGTGCTGCAAAGCTGGCAGGTTATTTCCATCAAAGCGGAAGTGTAGTGGCCAGGAGATGTGAGCTTTGTATGGCATAGATGTGAGACGTGAGAAGACATCATGTTGTTATAAGTTGTATCTGAATTTGCTTGAGGAAGAGGAATTAGAGGTTGAAGAAACACAATTAATTCTTCAATATCTAAATTATCGACAGCAACATAGATTCTGGATAAGAAACCATATAAAATGTCACAATCATGGTGAATATACCACACTGTTTCAAGAGTTTGATGAAAGTTTTCAAAAATCTTACATGGTAACAAGGAATAATTTTTACGCCTCCCGACTAGACACTTCTCTGCTATGTCGCGCCGCTAGCTCGGTAGCCGCACAAAATTCTATAGAAAAATTAGACATCTCCTCTCCTCTTGTCTTGATCCATTTCCACCGAAGCTATGCGGAGAAGAGATATGGCAATAATGTAATCGGATTAGTTTATTCAAACACATCTCTCCTCCCCGCTTTGGTAGAAACAGGCCTAACTTATTAGGTCAGGTCATCCCAAGATATTGATGTAGAATGTTTAAAATGATAGGTCCAGACTAAGTCTTGTCTTTAATAGTCACTTTCTTGCTTAAATAGGCCATGGCAATAATGATTCTAACAGGGGTGGAGTCTCCATAAACAAATAATACTCTTGAAATATTGTATAAGGCATCTTTCCCTGTTTAATAAAGAACTTATCATGGCATAATGCTCAATTTTGTACACACTGTCTGGTTTGTTCTTCTTTAGGTTCAAATTTAGTATACATATACTATTAATGAGTTTCTCAATCAGTAACTAGCTGGAAGAGCATTTCCACTCTCTCCTATTATTCTTTTGTGAATTTTTTGACTTCCCTAATATATGCAAAATTTAATTGCCGTCATGAAATACAGAACAAACAATTTTGGATAAAAAGCTGAACAAAAATTAGATTTGCAGAATTTGTCAAACTTTGGTCCTCCACCATACATTTTTTAAATATTTGTTAAATTTACAACCACATTTTACCACAAATAGCAGTATATGATCTCTAAGCTCTAAAATAGGAGTTATAGATGTTTTCTACTGTCAGGACTAAACATTTTGTTTATTGAATTTGTTAATACAATTTCCTAAATAAGGCATGTGTTCATTCAAATAATTCATTAAAGTTAAAAATTTAAAGTTAAAGCCTATATATATTCCACTGCTGGGCACACGCCTCTGCTCATTTCTAAGAGGGTTTTAGGCCAAGAAAGCATCCACCGCGATTCCTCAATGTATGTTGGCGAACTTCACATGTCTTTGAAAATTTTTTTTCTTACTTCTCAGACATGCAGGTTTCCTCACTATGTTTTCCCCTACTGCTGATCATGTGGTACACTTAAAATTGCAATTAACAATTTCGATCGAACCCTGTTATAATACTATCAAGTGTTTATTAGTACTTTAAGTTATTCCATTAATAAAGAGAAAAGCTGTAGAAATAAACAAAACATAGTATTTATTTTGGTTTGTAAAGCTTAAAAATTTAAGCTCTTTGTAATCAATCTAGTTTTTTTTAGAAAGATTTAGTTCAGTAACAAGATATTTTTTGCATAAATATTGTAAGATAAATTGGAAGGATATGCACCGCATGTGAATTTGCTAAAATAAAAACCAAACAAACAAGTAATTTACTCTGCTCGTTTCTAATGAGCCTAATTAAGGCAAATCAAGCACCGTAAGAGAAGGACCGTTCAGGTATAGGCAAATACTCGCTCTATAAATAGCAGGCTTAGACCGGACAGCCCTAAACGACCTTAAAGATGAGGTAAAAGCATTCAATCGGATGCAATCAATGTGCAATCCACACGAGCGTAAATTTCCTCGCACTCTATCGCACGCAGTTTAAATAATTTCTAACTCAAATTCATAGTATTTTTACCGCCGACACTTAAATGAAAGTGAACACTTGAAATCGTACGTTAAAAAACTTAATAATACTGCTTCGCATTGGTAAAATTTATCCCCTCCCTAAAAATATCATGAAGCAGGGAAAACGATTTTTCAATTTTCCCCTTTGAAATAATAAGGGTTTTGTTATTCACCTGAAAAGATAACAGAATAATAAACAAAGCTTACCCCATTGTTTCCTTTCCCGCTGTCATTTAAACACAGTAATTATGAAAATATTCTACTTCATAATTCCAGATTTTATCCTATACACAACTGTCATGCGGCGATTTCACCATAAACTAAACATAAAGTTATAGAAGACATTATGGTTTGTGGAGTTGCCATTTGCCTGCAATGATATATATGGAATTTTTTTTGTTATCACTTATCACACAATATCTTTTAGTATCGGATCAATTTTTGTGGTTCGTTAGGCTGTACAAAATTTGAAATTACTTAGTAAATATTCAAATGTTTATTTTCAATTTACTTTTTAAACTTAAAGTTAGATTTTATAACAAAGTCCTGGAGGTTAGAGAACAGCAATCTTGCCATCTTTCGACAAATAAATTCAAGCATTTATTTTATTTATAGCTATTTAACACGAGATGGCGCATCTGCATGTTATTATTCTTCTCAATGACGTAAAAAAGTTGCTCATTGATTCTTCTCTTTGACAATAGAGTTCGCTTATTTACTTGACTGACGTAGACAGAGAATAGCATTCTCTGTCTACGCTGATTGGTTATTTAATTTTTTTAAATATAAGTACTAATACAAAATTACATTTTTTTGTTAGTTTTTTAATTTAACTGAATTTGTGAGATTTAAATGTCTAGAAATTTAAAAACATTGAATCTAACTATAAAATCTTAGAAATAATACTCACCTTATTAGGTGAGTTATTGCTATTGTTCTAAGATGTTTTCATTGCGCATTTTTATATAAAAAAAATCAAAACAGCGAAACAGTATTGCCGTGAAAAATAAAATAATTATTTGAAACAGATAACCTTATGTTTTTGATACAGTAAAGAAAAGTTAACGAGAGGCAGCTCAAATACTGGTAAGCGAAGGACACCACCAAATGAAGTGACGACTTGGTAAGACGTACAGGAAGATTTGAATATAGGAAATCGACGGCTGCAGGTGGCTTGGGTTTGTAATTTTCGGCATTTTGTCAGATAGCCGCGCTTGCACTACTGGTTTCCGAGTACCTATGTAATGTCATGCTGTAAGACATTCCATTTCAGTCAGTCCTTAGTGGTGACAACGCATCTGTATCTTTTTTTTTAAGTTTGCTGCAGTTCATGTAACTGCTGTAGCCATTTATCATTAGTTCATCATAGTCAAAAAAATTGCCTTAATTTCTGCCTACACGTAAAATTATTGCAGTGGGCTTTTGATATACTGTAATTTGGTCTTACAATCTGGCTAATGCGGTTTCTTGGTATTCCGAGATTCAATTTTTAGTATTACGAAAATATAATACGTGATAGAGACAGGCTGTGGCCATACTATGATTGTAGCACGAATGGGTCGGCTCGACCGGGGAAGGACCACGTGTTCCACGAAATCATCATCATCATCATCATCATTACAGTCCTTCACAAGTCTACTGCTGAACATAGGCCTCTCCCAAGGAATGCCACAAAGCACGGTCCTGAGCCACCTGCATACATCGACTTCCTGGATGTATTAACAGGTCGTCACTCCATCTAGTGGTGGGATGCCCTACACTTCGCCTACCGGTACTAGGCTACCACACGAGAAACTTACACAATATTAGGGTGAAATGGCAGCTTAATGCTTCTGTGTTTCGTATGGTGGGTGAATATAGAGAACCATCTTAATCTTCAGGGTGATTTCTTATTCGTGTGTGGACGTAGACGCCCTTGGGCCAAAGCATCCACTTACCTTTGGGTGTCCTATGTGCATATTTGTTGCTTGCTGGGCTTTTCCCTCTACTGTCTTCCCTCTAATGTTTCCAAGTTTATAAGATATGCAGTAGTTTGGCGTATTTACAATTACATGAATGCTATATTGAAAATATTTGCAAAGAAGAACATTTTAAAATAGGTACGTGAATCTAAATGACTTTTTACTTGATTTGTTCTATTACATTATAATTTTGATTTTGATTTGATCTCTTTCATAAGTTATTTGTGAAGTTAAATTAATAGTAAATTCATTTTTCATTGTTTTCTTTACCTTAAATAAATGTGAAGTTCTATACCTACGCAGGATTCGTGCGGATTGTAGGTGTGCCCTAGCCCCTAGCTGCAACGAATGAATGAAAACTTTCACTCTACGTTTGTGTTGCATGAAGTTATTACCTTTATTACGGTAAACTCTCAATTTGTATCGACGAATTTGTTGATTTTTTTCTGTGTTTCCGCGTAAGGAGCAAAAATAATTTACGACCAATCACATCGTAGAAAACTCTCCGAATTTAAAATGGTAGTATTATTGATATATTAGTACCTACTACCGAACTAACGCCATCTCTGAGCGTTTTAATGTAGCTCGGGACAAACCGTTCATTATAATATACACTAAACTAAAATTGAACTGTGTATCTGTAATATTAAAATAATAGGCTTCTATTAAGCTCAGGGGTTTTTGAATGCTTTTAAGACATAAATAAACATTTTTGTCAGTCTGTCTGTCCAGGCTAATCTTCGGAATGGTTGAACCGACTGTGATTAAAAAATACAAACAGATAGTGAGCAATACCAGCCGGGATCTAGGCTATATTTTATACTAATAACTTTAAGGAATATACCGAAAAATAGAAACGAAAAATTGATAAAATAAATTATCTAAAAAAATAACGCCGCATTACTAGATCCTATCTAAACGAACTTTGTCTCGCTACTAAGTTAATAATCTACATAATATCATATTTTTAAAGCACTGCTCTTCGGTCAGATGGTCCCAAGCCACAGCCAGAGCCCAGAGCGTACATTCACGACAAACATCCAATTTTTACGTAATTTGTGTACTTTCACCGTCATATCTTACTTTAGTAATGTTCAATTATTAATGTGCTCTAGTTTAAGGTCGTGTTGCAAAATATTGGTAAAAATTTATGAGAAAGGTTTGTTAATGCAAAATACGTAAGAAAAACACAAACTTGTTTCACAATATTATTATCTAATTACGTTTTTGGTTTAGCGACATCTTTTAGCGGTTACTAGAAATACATAGTATATAAAATTTTAGTTATTCTGCATTAAGTTTAACGTTTGATATAACAAGAATTATTAAAAATAGAATATTAGAGCAGCTGTCTATCCGTGTTAAAAGTATAGCATAATAATATGGCACCCACTGATGACCTTCTTTTGGCTTCTGACTTTTTTTGCATTTCAGATAGAGCTATAAAACGATAAGTCCAACGCGCTGCTGCGGCTAATTGAAATATTTTATTTCTTACTATCTTGTCGAGTTACTTTGACTGCAAAGTCCAGTTGAAATATACGTGGTGCAGGTGGTTTACTCATTACCACAGAATAAATAATAGTACTACGTACCTATTACCAACACCGCGACGTAGCTGTACCACGTAAAAATATTTTGGATGAAGCATCCTGTCTATTCTGCGGATAATTTACCTGCAGTAGAACCAGAGCAACTGACATAGCTCAATAGATTAGTAGAAGTGGCAATGGGCCGGCCATATAGCTCGAAGAACCAACAACCGATGGGGTAGCAGTGGCAGCCTCGTACCGGTTGGCGAAGTGTGGGACAGCCCCCCACTAGATGGAGTAACGACCTGGTAAGACCTGTAGGAAGTCGATGGATGCAGGTGTCTCAGGACCTTGCTTTGTGGCATTCCTTGGGAGAGGCCTATTTTTAGCAATGGACTTGTGAAGGGCTGTAATGATGATGATGATGACAATGTATTGTAAAGGTTTGCCACTCTTATTCTAGAAACAACACTTAGAATTTTAAACAAGAGACAAGTATCGCAAGCTTCAACCAAAACAAATGTTTATGTGGTAGGTATATCGCTGCGTCAGCGGATATCCTCATTTCCAAGTTTATCACGCAGTGGAACCCCGAGCACAGCCCTCTCCATAGCTCGCTGAGCAACCTTAAGTGTTCTTATACGGCCAGCAGTGAAGGACTGCATTTCAGATCCATAAGTCATCACTGGCAACACGCACTGGTTGTACAATTTTGTTTTCAAGTTTTGAGGTATACCTAACGAGAAGATGTGTCGTAATTTTCCGAAAGCTACCCAGCCGAGTTGAATTCGTCGATTGACCTCTCGAACGAAAAAAATAGAGATGCAAACTTTTACTGAATATAAAGTGTATTGCCCCATAACCCGTTATTATATTGTCTCTTGACTGCCTTTCAGTGCCTCGTTGTTTGTTCATACGGTCGGCACAAAATCAGTATATTTTTCTGTAAAGAAATTTTTGGTAACAGTCCAAAGTTGGCCGATAAGTGATAACAAGAAGATGGCACTGTTTTACCCCCGTACCTCGGAAAGCACATAAAGTTGTTGGTAGTATTCCTGATCTCGCTCCGGTCGTGTGAGCTGTTGTCGTCTGCATGGGCTTCCTGCCCAGCAGGTATCGGGCCTCGGGGTATGCCCCATTTACCCAGACATTCCTCACGGCACACTACAGTGTGCCGGTTCTGGGCGCCTTTAATGGTAAAGGCGTTATAATGTAAGTAACGACTTTTCGTCGCAGTCGGGTAATTTTGTCAAAAAAGGAGGCTGTCTCGTTATATGTCTAAGTTGGCCTTTCTGCGGCATTGTGGGATTTACTCTAATCTATATAGGGAGGAGTTCTCTTGGATATAGTCGCCCGTCCGGGGGCCGTGAGTGCAACGGCGCGAAGCCGTTGAGGTGTTCATGTGGCCCGTTGTCGGCGCGGTCGAACATACCGCGCGCCAGCCGGACTAAGAATTCTTGTAGGCTTTCGATCTTAATGTTGGCCGCTATGACGTCATTCCGGACGTAGCGACCCGCACCGACTATGGTTCGTAATGATAAGTTCTGCTGGGCCTGTAGTCGCCGCTTCTGTTGATCGCTCAGGAGCGCATACCAGGCCGGAGCAGCGTATTGAAATAATACTAGTTTTTACGGAATTTATCGCGTATATTTAACTTTTTAAATACCCGACGTTTCAAGAGCTTTACAGCACTCATGGTCACGGGAAGGACTGAGATGTTCAACGTCCAGATGTCATAGT